AGATTTTCATGAGATTTGGTGTGAGAGCATCAGGATTCGTAAAATACACGATGTCCCAGAAAATATGCCCATTGTTCAGTCGTCATTAACTTTTATAATTCCGCATCATTTCTAGGCGTTGATATTTTATCTAAAAGAGCTATCTGAAAATTAAATTTTTACTTCTAAGCGAATGTTGTATCCCCGAATGTTACGGCAGGACTGTGGTATAATGTCGTAGATGGCTTTGGTGTTCTCATTAATTATTTACTATAATTTCTCAAAACGTGGTGCACGTTATTTTTGGGGCACATTATACAATAGCGCTTTTCAATGTTGCACGTAATTATCTTTAAACTTCCATTTTTTTCCTCTTAACATTCTCACAGTTTAAACTATCTTCTCTGTAAATGCTCAATTCAGCATCTAAATCCGATGTCCATGTTGCTTCAGCCTTTGTGAAGAAGCTGACTGGTTCATACAATCCATCACAATACGAAAATCCAAGTGAGTACGCATTATAAAAGAGAGATGCAGCTGATCATTTCTTTATGTTTCTTCTAATCTTTGCCGTAGATTTAGATTGGATGACTTGTCACGTGATGGCATCCCTACCTAGGCAAAATTATATTGCTAGCCATTTCCGTTTTTACGCTCTACATAGTGTATTATTGAGCTTATAAATGATGCAATACAGATCTGGCTCACAGCCAGTTTATACCACTAGTCCTAATTCAATTTTCTTTCACACCAGGAAAAATAGTATAACTTAAGACTATTGCAAAGGCTAAGATTTCTCGGAAGAATGCGGATGGCTTGGTGCCTCTTGGCTTGCAGGCCTCTTCAATCAGGTCATCATTGCTAAGAGCATGCCCCATGTCTGGTCAAAGAGCACAACGATTCCGATAAAAAATAAAGGCGATATTTCAAATTGTTCAATGTATCGGCCAATCCGGCTGATGAGCCACACTGTGAAGATCTTCAAAGAATACTTGAAACACGACTTCGAGCGATCATAGAGTTGCCATCCAATCACTGCGGATTCGTAAAAGGTGCCGATACTACTGACGCCATCCATACTGTACGGATAGTGATGGAGA